ACTCCCTCCCCTCTCTCTTTGCTTTGCGCCTTGGTGGACTGAGCAACACCATTAAAACAAGCAGGGAGGAGTCGCCATCGCCCGATTCATCGCGTCGCTGGCTCCATCACCTAGCTGCCTAGCTACCCACCCCTACCCCGCCTTGAATGGCGCCTGGTCGAGCTTCAATTTTGGAGCTTTTCCCCGCCACCGTGCCGATAAGGCCGAGTCCACCCATCACCAAGGGTAGCACCCATCTGACCACCTCGAGCCCAATTGGCTGCACTGCTAGACTCGCCTCGAACCCCTACTCGTCATGCGCAGTTGAGCCGTACTCCTACCGTTGTCCCGACACTGCTGACACGGTCGTGTCCTCCGTGGCTCGTCGTCGAGCTCACCGCGCGTACGTGGCCAGCCTTGCTCGGGGTGTCTTCGGCCGAACCATCGCCTCGGCCAGGTCCTTGGTGAGTCGCTGATGCTCACCCGCTACCTCTACTGCTTCCTTAGCGTCGTGGCTCATCGGAACATTGTCGTCGCCCCCACAGGTTGCCCGCCGACATGGAGAAGTCGCCCTACTTCATCTCCGGTCTTCTAACCGCTGCCCAGTGTTGCGCGTTGGTCCATAGGTGAGCATCGACCCCCTAGCTAGATCTGCGTAGGTCCCAGTTGGTCGGCGTAGCGGCTCCGTGCTGGCCATCGCTGCGCCGATGAGCGCGAGGGCTTTGGGGACCTCCCTGATGCGAAGATGAGTCTCTTCGGAGGCCTTCGTGCATAATCGCTGACTAAAGGAATAGGGCGCATAGTGGTCGCGTTAATAGCAGAAAGCGCGTGGGCTTTTCTGCTAAAACGCCAGCGTATGTGGGGGTTTCTCCGTCGTGGGCCAGCCTCGCGTGGGCCACGCGGGAGGTTTCGTTTTTCTTTTCCTAAGGAATTAGAAATAGTTTTCTAATTTAATTTTTGAGCTGATCTTTGGTGAATCATATAAAATCATGTAGGTGTCCAAAAATTATGAAACAAATTTTGTTATGTTTCTAAAATTGTGCTCTATCTGTTAGTGTATTGTGTTCATATATGTACATGTTGATACCAGGAGCTATTATATCATTTGAAAATATTTAATATTGTTAGGTTAAATATTGTAGGAATTTTTGTGGTAAATTGGTGATAGCTTTAGTCCTAAAATTTTTATGGTAGCTTCATTGTATTATTATGTGCTCACTATAATTTTTGTAGCTTTAGAATAGACTAAGAATTAGGGTAGTTAAATGCTCTTTGTTTCAATATACATTAAATCATTAGTAGCAATAAAGATATATCCTTCATTTGTAAAGCTAGGTGTTTGTTAGTTGAACCCAACACTTTGCTTGGTAAAGATGATAGTTAGCTTAATAGCTTAGTATGTGTATTCTTATTTTAAGAGTTGTTGTTGCATAAATGCTAAGTGTTGCATCATCATTGCATGCATCTAGAGAACGAGTTGGCGAAGATCGTGACCATCGGCGATCACGAGTTCGAGGAGATCGTCGAGGAGTATAAGAATAGGAGATTCTCGTGCAGGAGGAGGTCCTAGAGCCGCCACTGACTGACTCAACTGACACCGCGCCTGCCCAAAGCAAGCCCGATGCATAACCCCTTATTTTTGGGTAATCACTGTTTATATATGTTATGTGCATTTATGTTACAGAAATTTTATGAAAACCACATGCATAGATATATCTGTCCTGTGAGTCTTACTAGTGCAGGTTCGAGTAGATGCTATGCTTAGGTTTTTGGTAGCGTGAGTAACCTGTCGTTACTCACAATAGGTGATTATTATAATTACTCTCATGATAAAATGATAAAAGAAAAAATGGAGGCAGAGCAGGGATATGGTATGGGTATTGGTGGGTGTAACAGGTTGTGTCCCGCGGCCAATGGGCCTTAGCTTGGTTACACTGTTTTCCCTATTCGTGTTGATTAAGGACCGTCCGTTGCTGTGGATGGTAGTCAGGTCACAGACTTATTATTCTGAGCACATACATGTTTATGGGAGCGAGAAGGCTCGTTACGCTCTTGTCGTGGGTTCCGGCTCTTTCCGGACCGATTGATTAGAGGCGGGAAAAGGTGAAGGTCTAAGCACTATACTGAGATGGGGTCTCAAGTGTGGGGGCTTGGAGTTCAAGTTTGGATGGGGACCTGGAGCTCGTGACAGGAGTGAAATGGGTTGGTCTTATTTGTGCCTGGGGTACAAACGGAGCATGTGTTTTGGGGTACCCAGCTGGGATACATTGGTTCGTGAATCGTCGTTTCCATGAGATGGTACAACTTGGCTATGGTCTAGCACCGTAGTAAGAATTAGAAGATGAAAGATGATAAAATAGTTCTGATTGCTCAACCCTTGCTTAAAAATAGAACATGTGCTTATCTAGCATGGTTAGCTAATGAAGTAATCATGACTGCTAATAAAATATGACTGTAAGAATGAACTATTAGTAATGTTTTTCGCAAACAAAAAAAAACAACAAACCCATATTGCTTATCATACTACTTGGAGTTGGGAAGCTATTCCCACTAGTCGGGTAAGTCTTGCGAGTACATTGTGTACTCATGGTTTATTTTACCCCTGTTAGGTGTAACTTGAGGAGTAGCACTTTTGTGGAGGATTCTTCTGGTGGGTACAGACGGATGCTTATATCGACTTTGCTAGATGTTTATTCTCATTCCGCTGTTTAATTATCGCACTTTGAACTCCGGTTCTATAATAAATGATTTTCAAGAACTCTGGTCGTATAAAATGGACTAAGTATTGTAAGTTCATACTTATTATTGGATTCTTGATGTAAAACGTGAATTGTTATGAGTTCTCCCTTGGGGTGTGCTCGACGGAACTGTCCGATGTAGCTAACTTTCGAGGTGCTTAATATCTAATGGAAGACGATCGCCTCTAGAAGCATGCTATTTTGGACGGTTCGCAAAAAAAAACCTCATTAGTTATTTACTGGATTTATTTTTAAACTAAAAAGAGAAGACCGTCTTTGAAAACCACCTATAACCGGGTCAGAGAGATAAAATGAACAGATTTAAAAGTTTAAAGAAGATGATTTACCCGGTTTTGAAGTTGAGGAGGAAAACTAGAATTTGAGAATAGTAAGATGGACTTTTTCCCCGGTTAGTCGGATCATGCCTTAGCAGGCCCGTGCTGTAGCGGGCCGGGCCGCACGTTTGGCCACCTGATCTGCTGTCCGCGTTCGATTTCATTGATCTCCACGGCCCAGGCCACGCGTCCGAAACCCCTCCCTTCCGAGCCATCCCGCTCCCCGCGTTCGATTTCTTCCCTACGCCATTCCTTCCCTGCTCCCACACCGACCCCCGCCCCCGGCACGAGCACGCGGCCGGCGGCCCCCGGCCCCGTCTCGCCTGCCCGCCGCCGCGCCGCCTGCCCCTCCCCACTCTGATCGGTGGGCACCACGCCCCAAGCTCCATCTCGCCTTGGTCGCCTGGACGCCACACCCTCCCTGCTCCAGCAAGGTCGGCACCACGCCCCGCCCGGCCGCCACGCTGTCCCGGGCCTGCTCGGTGGCGCATCCACCTTGGGAGCAGTTCGTTCTCCGCGGTGCCGTGAGTTCCCATCTCCCTATTAGCCGCCTCCCTCCCCTCCTCGCTGCCGCGCCGCTCCCCTTGCGACACCACTGTCGAGCGGATCCAGCGCCGCCACGCATGTCTCGTGCTGTCGTTCGCAAGTAATCTGCACTTGCTGTACATCCGCTCTGAGCCTCTGACCCAGGTCCGTAAAGCGTTAATCACTGCCTACTGATTTGATTTTGGTATGTCCCTGTCGTGCAGTTGTGCTTACTTGGGGATTTGATACTATCCTGTGCTGTGTTTTGCTATGCCTTTATCAGATTCTGGACTGAATGTTGTAGGCGTATCTTCATCATTGTTATGCTAATGGATTTTCTGAGCAAAAGCGAAGTGATACTTGATTGTGGAATTGACATAACATTTTTTCTTACAGAGCGCACATTTGGATAACTGACATTAATCTTACAGACTTAGGTAGTCTTTACAGTGCCAATGCAATTTTACTACCAAAATTTTGTTAAAAAAGGATTCCTAACTCAATTTAATGATGTATGCTCTTTTGTCAAACAAAATTCTTATTGCAAATTCCAACTACACCAAATTATTATAAAGTTGTTTAAAGTTGCTAATATTTCTTGTTTGGTTGTTTTCTGCAAGATTTTCAAATTTTTATTTTGGTTGTAGTGCCACTAATCTTACTCAAGTTGTTTAAAGTTTAAACCCCTTTTGAAGTAATACATTGTATTATAGCTTTGCTTCTTTTTATGCCATGAATTCTTGAAAATGCTTAGCTATAGGCACGTGGCAGCAGCGTGCTGCAGGTGGAATATATAGATGTATGAACTATGAAGTAACATCTCTAGATTCATGCATTATAATGCATCCATGGCTCTCATCTCTAGATTGGTTTTGAGCTGATCGAATATATAATGCATGAATGCCAGTTGTCCTTAGCAAATATATATCCTTTGAGTTGGACCATGTTTTTTCCTAGCGTATTTTTTCGCCTTTACACCAGCATCTTACTTTTTGTGTTTGTACTATCGTGACATGTTTATCAGGTATTATATATGATATTTTTAGAATAATAATTATTTTGTTTAAGTTCTATGTGCCTGTAGCAACACACGGGCTATTTCCTAGTAGAATTAAAAGCCTTTTAAGCAAAGCCTTGCCAGCAATAGCATCAGTTGTGGTCTAGTATGAAATAACTGCATTCAACCATGTATATAGTATACCTCCTTATTTGACCTCAAAATTTCAGGAAAATTCACCTCAGACTTGGAGGACTGAACGGAAGGGACAGGGCTAGCTACATCATCTCGTTCTCCACTCCCCACAGCGCGGGGTTCAAAAAAATTTCCCCAAAACTCTCTCCTCCCTCCGCTCTCCTCCACCCAAAACCGCCGCTCCCACTCGGACCCACGTCTAGAAGCTTCTGGATCCATTTCCTGGTGCGGATGGAGCGGCTTGATTCCAAGTTCTACCAGAAGTACACCGCTCTCAAGGTACCGCAGGCCTCCCGCTTCTTCCTCATCCTGTTTCTATAAGCCGGGCCACTGTGGTCTGACACTGCCTGCAATCATTGTTTTCCGGTTCAATCCCTCGCCGCAGAAGCGGAAGTTGCTGGACGAGGGGCTGGAGCGGAAGCGGGAGGCGGAGCTCAAGGAGCTTTACGATGGTATAAGTCCTGACTGAACCTATCTCTGGGCTGGACTCGATTTGGATGGGGCTATGGAAAGGAGGGTTTTGGGAGAAACACTTGTTATTTTCCCCCTGATTTGATTTTTTCCTTTTGTTTTGATTATGCAGCCATGAAAGATTGGACCAGCGAACTCAAGAAAGATAATGATGAGCTCAAAGAGAAGCTGTAAGATTGGGGTTTTGTTGTTTGGGGTGGAATTGGTGCCTATATCATTTCTTATATCCCTTATCTTTTGTTTTATTTTTGGCTAATTTGATTTGATGATTCTAGGGTGGACAAGGAGGATGAGCTCGAGAAGGCCCGTCAGGAATTCCTTGAAGATATTCGTAGTAAGATTATCTATCCAATCTCAAAGTTCCTTTCTCTTTTTAGTTGGACCGCTTTTAGCTTACTCATGGAATAGAAATTTGTAGTCTGGCACATGCATGGAACTGATACATGTCTTTGGGAAATTGGAGCAGTGATTAGTGGTGTGTCCCTGTTCGAATTAATTATTGATCAACATGCTTCACACCGCCTGAACCTGAACACGACAGTGTGCAGGTCTAAATATCTAACTAATGATGAACATTGCAAATACTGTTTAAGTTTACATGTCATAGTTTGATCAGCTTTGGTTTCTTAAGCAATTTTCTTAGGTCGAAGTCTTATTACCTGTGACCATGTTTTTTTTTTTTTTCTGTCTAACTTGTCATGAGAAGTAGACATGAATTTGGTTAATCCTTTTGAGCTGGTTCCCCTTAATTAATTATATGATATATGTCGTGTTCACCGAAGTTGCTAGGTTGTTGAGAATGATGACACCCAAAATACAATTTGTGAAAACTGGAAAACCGGAGTTTAGACAAAACTAGTTTTGCTTATCCTCAAGTTAGTTACATAAATCAAACAAAATTTCCAGAGAAACAGACAAACGGTTTTATTGGATCCACTTTTCAGTTTTCACAAAACTAGAGATCCAAACAATCCCTAAATAATGTCTTTAACATCATTATAGAACAATTGAGCAAGGAAATATTTCAATAACTATGCCTTTGCTTGCCTCGATGGACAAATACTTCAAACAGGTGTTGTGGACTCCTTCATAGGACGCCAATATAGGCGCAGGATGAGGAGGGCCACGGCCAGCAGTGGCTAAGCCACCATATTTAGGAAATAAGGAATAATTAGGGAATAATTAGGGAGGATTTTTAGGATCTCAACTAGAGTTTGTTAGACAATGCACCTGGACTATAAAAGTTGCACTTAGGAATGTAATCAAGGCATCGAAGAAGAAAGAACCTCCCTATCTTCCTCTAAGTCTTTGGGTATATTCCATCCTTTCAAGTGATCCCCCACCACGCCATTGCCTCGCTACCCTCCAAGTCAACTTCGGTCTTCACAACTCCTCTCATTCTCCCTACTATCCACGGCTTTGGATGCCACTATCAATTTGGTATAAGAGACCCTTCCGGGGTCTCGACACCAATGCACATGTCCGGCAAACCATCTGCGCGGTGTTGGACAAGCTTTTCTTCAATTGGCGCTGGCTCAAATCATCACCATCAACAATCTTTGAACTCCGAACTCGATCCCTTCGTGTGGAGATCGGCAAATCCAACGAAAAGGGCGGCGGAAGATTTAACGACACTTAGCCGTTGAACATGTCGTATTTTCGAGGCCAACGACGGACGCCGCACCATACAACATAGCGCGGTCTAATCGCCGCCGCCTTCCTATAAAACTTGCCTTTTAGCATGTGGTACCCTTTTTGTCACATAGGACACGCGTGACGCTTGCCGCCACTTCATCCACCACGCTTTGATTCGTGGCTAACATCTTCATCAATGTCCCCGTCCCTCTCGTAGCATTGATCCTAGATATCGAAAGGTATCCTTCCTAGGCACTACTTGACCTTCCAAACTAACATCTTTCTCCTCGACGACGGTAGTAGTGCGAAGTCACATCTCATATACTCGCTTTTAGACCTCGATCGAGTCTAAAACCACAGAACACCAAAGTCTCCTTCCATAACTCGACGGCGAAGTCGGATCCACTAACTTGGCTCAACAAGCTTTCAATTTCTTCCATGCCATCGTGTTCGAAAAGAGCATACACCAAGGGATGGCCCCTTGTATGTCCCTTGTGACCTCATCCATCACTAAAGCAAACAAATAAGGGCTCATGGTCGACCCTTGATCGACTTCGTCTATCCGCTTTGGGGAAGTCATCCGCACCAACTCATCTAGGAAATAAGGCCTTAATCCGCACAAGGGAAGGATTAGGGAGGGATTTTAGGATCTCAACTAGAGTTTGTTAGACAACGGTGATCGACTATAAAGGTTGCAGGCGGGTTAGGAATACCATTGGCCCACGACGTCGAGATGCGATACCCCCACCAATCTTTAGAAGGCCATGAGCCTCTCCGGGCATTCGATCGGCGCCTCCTTCGGAGACCTCCTCACAGATCACTAGCGGCGGCGGCTTAAAGTATCAATTTCGTGTCGAGACCGCGCCATTGCATCGACACCAATGCCCAACGTTTGTCCCGCTTCCTCCACGATTGTCGGAAGGGCCGCGGCCGCGCTTTCGTCGCCTCACACCGGCAGAGATGCAGGAAAAACGCCAGAATGGGCAATGCTATTTTTGCTCGGAACCGTATAGCAAGGAGCACAAGTGCGCCGCCAAGGGTGTCTTCCTCATGGACTTGGCGGACGGCGAGGATGACCCCCTCAGCGAGATCAATGACGTGGAGATCTCTCTCCACGCGCTCACCGGCCTCAACTCCGCTGACTCCATGTTGCTGCAGGTCACGGTCGGTGGTGTCCAGCTACGAGCGCTGGTGGACACTGGTTCCACGCACACATTCATCCACTCTACTGGCACAACGCCTAGGGCTTACCGTCACCCCACGCGCCGGCCTCAACGTCATGGTGGCCAATGGCGACCGGGTGCGTAGCCCGGGCGTCTGTCTCGCTACACCGGTTACCATTGGTGGCGAGGCCTTCTCCATCGACTGCTTCGCGCTCGACTTGGGCGGTTTCGACTTGGTCCTTGGCGTCCAATGGCTCCGGACGCTGGGGCCGATCGTCTGGGACTTCGGCGCCCTGGCGATGTCGTTCTGGTACAACGGCCGCTCTCACCACTGGACCGGCGTCAACAGCAGGGGATTGGCGGCTTGCGCTATCACCGATTCCCGTGCTGTGTTGGAGGAGCTCCTACAGTCATACGGCGACATCTTTGAGGAGCCCTGGGGTTTACCACCACCACGCCGCCACGACCACAGGATCCACCTCCTGCCGAACTCTCCACCGGTGGCGGTGCGCCCGTATCGGTACCCACAGCTCCTCAAAGACGAGATTGAACGGCAGTGCGAGGACATGCTCGGCCAAGGGATCATCTGGGAGTCGACTTCACCATTTTCCTCCCCGGTGCTCCTGGTCCGCAAGCAGGATGACAATTGGCGCTTCTGCGTCGACTACCGCGCTCTCAACGACGCCACCGTCAAGGACAAGTTTCCGATCCCAGTGGTGGACGAACTCCTGGACGAGCTGAGGGGTGCCCGCTTCTTCACCAAGATTGATTTGCGCAGCGGGTACCATCAGGTGTGCATGCACCCAGATGACGTCGCCAAGACCGCCTTCCGGACGCACCGGGGGCACTTCGAGTTCCTCGTCATGCCCTTCGGCCTCACCAACGCGTCGGCGACTTTTCAGGCGCTCATGAACGATGTGCTGAAGCCGTTCATCCGTCGCTTTGTTTTGGTTTTCTTTGATGATATCCTAGTCTACAGCCCCTTGTGGGCTGAACATTTACAGCATGTTAAAGCGGTGTTGCAGATCGTGCGCGATCATCGTCTCTTCGCCAAACGCTCCAAGTGCTACTTCGGCGAACCGTCCGTGGCCTACCTCGGCCATATCATCTCCGCCGAGGGCGTCACCATGGATGCTGAGAAGGTCGCAGCCGTGGAAGCTTGGCCGCGCCTGCGGACCGCACGTGCCCTGCGAGGGTTTCTCGGCCTCACTGGGTATTACCGGAAATTCATCGCTGGGTACGGCGGCGTGGCAGCACCTCTCACCGCCCTCCTCAAGCGGGAGGCATTCACTTGGTCGGCCGACGCGGAAGCTGCCTTCGTCGCTCTCAAGGCGGCACTAGTCATCGTCTTGGTTGCTTCACCGGTGCCGGACTTCACCAAAGCGCGTTTAAATGCCGATCGCGATGTGTCCCGTGGCTGGGTTTGGCGCAGCGATCTTTGCACTAAGGCGACGGCGCCATCGCTTTCACCGGCCGATCGCTTCCTCACCATGCCAAGCTCCCAAAGATATGAACGTGAGTCGATTGGGCTGGTCAAGGCTGTCCGGCATTGGCGGCCTTACCTCTGGGTCGTGGCGTTCACCATCCGAAGAACCGACCACCGAGTCTCAAGTTCCTCCTCGACCGGTACCGACAACCATTCCGCAAAGACACGTGGGTCTCCAAGTTGTTCGGCTACAACCTCACGATTGAGTACCGCGCGCAAGCAAGTTCAACACGTGCCGCCGACGCCATTGTCTCGCCGTGATGATGCGGAGGCTGCGATCTTGGCCTGTCCCGCCCCTCTTCACCGACTATGATACCTGCTGCTATTTGAGCTACACGAGGATGCGGCGGCTCGGGAGTTGTCTGGTCGGGTCACTTTGCTGCGGGCACGGCTCCTCCGTGGTGGCGGCTTGTTGACGGCCTTTCTTTCTACAACACCGTGTCTTCGTCCGGAGGGCTCCACTTGTGGCCACCGGTGCTACGTGATGCTCATGAGGCCGGTCATGAGGGTGCCGAAGACTCTTCACCGATCTGCGAGAGCCGTTTACAACAACCGCCTCCACCACCTTGTTCGGGACTTTTATACGCGGGGTCACTGCTGTCTGTCAGCGGAACAAGACGAAACATCTCCACCCGTCAGACCTTCTTCAGCCCTTGCCTGTGCCGACCCATGTCTGGAGTGACATCGCCATGGATTTTGTGGAGGGATTTCCGCGAGTCGGCGGGAAGTCAGTCATCTTGACCATCGTTGACCGCTTCTCCAAGATGGCTCATTTTGTGGCCTTGAGCCACCCCTACTCCGCACATTTCGTGGCCCGGGCGTTCTTCGATAACATCGTCCGACTCCATGGCTTTCCGTGTTCGATTGTCAGTGATCGTGACACGGTCTTCACCAGCCACTTCTGGGAAGAATTGTTCAAGCTGGCTGGGGTGAACTTCTATGCAGCTCGGCCTTCCATCCTCAGACGGACGGTCAATCTGAGGTGACTAACCACATCATTGTCATGTATCCGCGGTGCCTCGCTGGTGATCGGCCCCGTTCGTGGCTGCAGTGGCTTCCTTGGGCAGAATTTTGCTTCAACACTTCATACCAATCTGCCCTTCGGACTACACCGTTTGAAGTCGTCTATGGCAGACCGCCTCCGGCGCTGATGTCTTACACGCCGGGTGCGGTCCGTGTGGCTGCTGTTGATCGCCAGCTCCACGACCGTGATATCTTCCTGGCTGAGATTCGCGAGCGTCTCATCTTGGCTCAGGACACCATGCGGGAGCGCCAGAACCAGAAACGTCGCCATGTGGAGTTTGCTGTTGGTGACTGGGTGCTGCTACGCTTGCAGCAGCGCACAGCGGTGGGCATCACGGCTGCCTCCCCCTCCAAGCTTGGGCCACGCTACTTTGGCCCTTATCAGGTTATCGAGCGGCTTGGCACGGTCGCTTATCGTCTGCAGCTCCCTCCAAAGGCTTGCATACATGATGTCTTTCACGTTGCCTTGCTAAAGAAGTATGAAGGTGATCCGCCTGCTTCAATCATGCCGTTACCGGCCATTCTTCGTGGGCGTGTGGTGCCTACTCCTTCTCAGGTGGTTCGAGCTCGTCTGAACCGAGGTCACTGGGAGCTGTTGGTGCAGTGGGCAGGTTGTTCCCCTGCGGATGCCACTTGGGAGCCGATTGCTGATTTCAAGGAGCGCTATCCGGCGTTTCAGCTCGCGGACGAGCTGTTTGTTGGGGAGGAGGGAAATGTTGTGGACTCCTTCATAGGACGCCAATATAGGCGCAGGATGAGGAGGGCCACGGCCAGCAGTGGCTAAGCCACCATATTTAGGAAATAAGGAATAGTTAGGGAGGATTTTTAGGATCTCAACTAGAGTTTGTTAGACAATGCACCTAGACTATAAAGGTTGCACTTAGGAATGTAATCAAGGCATCGAAGAAGAATAGAACCTCCCAGGCGGGTGGGGTTCCTCTTCGACGGTGGCTGCGCGCGGTTCTGTCGCTACCGCCGGTGATACCCCCACCACGCCATTGCCTCGCTACCCTCTCCGTTCCAATTCCCAGTCACAGCTCCTTCTCCATTCTCCCCCATGCGTACTCCACGGCGGCAACGCCGTATCAACAGGGAATACCGGCTAAAATTGTGAATTAAAGCGAGTATATACTAGTTGGAGTACTGTCTATAAAATTGCCACACAGATTTGTGTTTCAAAAAGTTCAGGTCAGAATGGACAACCTTATTGCATTGTGGATGCCAAAGGACATCTAAGTTTGATGAGTATCAACTTTACTGCTTTGCTGTACTGGATTGCTGGTTGTATCTTATTAGCATATGATAAATTAAGAATATTTTATTCTGCGTACATTTACCAAAACCAAACTGTTCTATATAATTTTTGCAATATGGTCAAACAACTGGTTGATTTTGCATTCATAATTTTTCGAGTAATAGTTGGGAGGCCATTGAAATGTTACCTCTAATGTCTGTGTCTTTCTGCTATGGTCTGAAATTTGTTTCGACATTGTTACTGAACAGTGCTACATTACCAAGAATTTAACACTATCCTTCCATCCTATCATACAACTGGTTGATTTTGCATTCATAATTTTTTGAGTAATAGTTGGGAGGCCATTGAAATGTTACCTCTAATGTCTATGTGTCTTTCTGCTATGGTCTGAAATTTGTTTCGACATTGTTACTGAACAGTGCTACATTACCAAGAATTTAACACTATCCTTCCATCCTATTACAGTGCTGATGTGGTAATTTAATTCATAGTTTGCATCACCTGGTTAACAAATTGGGTTATGACAACATAATGCATCATGATTTGTGAGATGGAGTGGTCCTTTCGCATCAATACTTTTAAGTTTCTCTCAACAGTTTTTTTCCCTTGTCTTTATTTATTTGGTTCCAACTAAGTTGGTTTAGGTGGCACAATATTTTCTCATTTCCATTTTTGTTTCATACAGCAAGGGACAGTGAAATTCTGAGGCTGAAGCAGCTCTTAGATGAGAAGGCTGAAAAAAACAATTCTACAGCTACTGGGTCTCCTGGCCTAACACCTGAAGCTATCCTAGAAAAATCAACTCCAATGTTACCTAAAAGAAAGACACCACTGTCCCACGGCAAGGTAAAGAGGGTACAGTTGATTGAAAATGCTCCTCACAGTAGCCCCACAGAGGAATCTCAAGAGGTCAGCTTAGAAACCTCAGTAGTTCCTTTTCACGTACAAGTATGTGAGTGAGCTTTGTTTACTAATCCTTCTTGTGGCTTGAATTGATCTGATACTGCAGCTAGAATGCTCTAGAAGACATTCATGCATCTCAGGTTAGTGAAAACTTAATTTGATCTGTCACTACTTTGTTGTATGGCTTGGAATTAATTTAGCCTGCGTGAATGTTGATTCAGGGAATGGGACAAATGAAATTCCGAGTGCTCGTATGTTCCATTTGCTGCTTCAATCTTTAGTTCGCATGAAGATCTCAGTAAATGATGGAACAGAAATGTTTTCGGTCTCAGTCTGTCACGAAGCTAGTGGTACTTGCTCACACTGAATCTCATGTTCTTGTTTTACTACAGCTCAGTATTAGCATAGCTGTTATTATGCTTTAATATTTGTTGTTCTTGCGCTGTTACTGTCATAATGCAATTTTGTATGTTACTTTTTTCACGTTTCTTCTGACGGTTACATGTTACCAAAGTAGCGTCTTTCATATGTTTTTTTCATTTCATTCCAGGATGTATTCACTCTCTAGTCAATAATATAAAGGAACTGATTATGATCCTTACAGAGTTTAAACTATTGCAGGTTACAGATTCACCCTGACATGGTTAGAGAAACATGGTGAATGGTCGTATAAGCTCTCCTCGTTGGGCACCCTGGATAGGATAGCCGTCGATTGGATGAGGCAAGACATAAGATTCAGCACGAAAATGTGCCATATGTTCTTTCAGCGGATATCAAGCATCATAACAAAAGGGTGACAGTTGACAGCATGCTCTTCGCTTCAGCTAGCTATCTCAGTCTGCCTAAGGAACTTGAAAATGGAAGCCTTCCGATGTAAAAAATGTTTTCCCGTTATGCTACTGTAGACCTGTGTCGAGCTGGAGCGTACTGATTCGTGGGCGACAATTGTTGCCATGGCTTGTATTCATGTTTCGGGCCACCTACGGCTACTGGCTTCTGCCATATGCATAAACTTGACAGGAAACGAGCTAGTTCCTTGTGGACTGTGTAAATGAAATTGTAGAATGGCGTGGAATGTAGCCCAAACAAGTGACACTTTGGACGATCGCTACGGCAGCAGAGTGTAGGGATTTCCCTAGTCGATTAGTTTGGCTGTTTTCTCATACAAAATGTCTGCATAGTCTACAAATTGTTTTTATGAAACAAAATATCCCCCTTCGTTCAAAAATATGTTGTTTGGGCTTTTATAGGTAGATGTATCTAGAAAAGCTAAAACGACTTCTACTTTGGAACACTATGGAACGGATTGAGCAAGTTTGGAGAACACTATCCTAACATTACTGAAAATATGAATTCGCTTTAGTGGATAGGGCCCATTTGACCCTAACATTATCAGTTATTAAACGAATTGGATGGAAATTTATTTTAACCCTATTTCAATCGGAAGAGGGGCAACATAAGTACATGTGGTTTTCATCTGAAAATATGAATTCGCTTTGGTGGACAGGGTCCATTTGACCCTTGAATTCTTGATACATCAGCCGAGCAACACTGCGTTAGAAGAGGAACGGCAACATCAAGTACATGTGGTTTTCATCTGGGTAAGACTGTCTCCAACGGAGGAGGCAAACAAGGCGAGCATTTTTGTAAAGCAAGCGACTTACAAGCAAAAAGCGTCGTCTCTTCCCGACGACGCAAAAACCTGTGCAAAGGAGCCGGGCTTGAGGAGTGGGGTGAATAGAGGGGACCTCGAACGAGGGCTTAAACCATGACGACCTTTTTCGTTGGCGGCGTCGAATAGCGAGATGGCGTGGAATTATTTTTGGGCGAAGCTCGACAACAAATTAGCTATGGCAGCGGGTCGAGGACAGAGGCGGCGTGCAGGCTTTTAGCCCAAGCGAACAGGGCAATCAGAAGAGGAACGGCAACATCAAGTACATGTGGTTTTCATCTGAAAATATGAATTCGCTTTGGTGGACAGGGTCCATTTGACCCTTGAATTCTTGATACATCAGCCTTTCGCGTGGTTGGGAGAGAAGTACAGAACGAGAGGAGAGATTTGGGGCTTGGGGCATCCGTGGGAGAGGTGAACTTATGGGTACGTAACATTTTCACTAACATTTTCACTGTGCGTTACCTAAAACGTGAAATGGGTCTTATGTTTAGGTTCCCGTCGTTGGAGTCAGTCTAACACGCTGTGAATGGGTCATCTGAAATTTCGTTGATCGCCCTAAATTCAAGCAGTCTTGTTGAAACAACAAGGGGGCGAAAACAAGTCCTGTAAAAATGAAGAACATCTGAACATTCAGAACTCAAAGAACAGTCACATATACTCCTGCTGCACCACCAGACTGGGAACCCAACCCAACGAAAGCATCCTGTCTTCTCCATCGACCCAAGCGAGATCAGTGCTTGTCCTCCTCCTCTACGCGGCGGGCTTGTAGAGCTTCTGCACTATCTTCCTGAACTCTGAACAACGAAGGACGAGGAAACGACAAAGTGAGATTCAGAACAAGAAACCGATCGATCGATCGCGCGATTCTTCATTCTTGATGAGAAGCGAAGCGAGATGTCGAATCGCGTACCTTCCTGGTTCGCCCAGAGCGCCGCCGCCTGCGTGTTGAGCGGCGACTCGTTGTTCGGCTCTGCATACATAATCCGTCGGCGGTCAGAAACAAAACAAGGAGAACGCACGCAGCAGGAGGCCGGCAGCGCACGAGATGGATGGGTCCCGTCGATCGAACAAAAGAAGGTTCGGTCGCGATCCGTTACCTCCGAGCAGGCTCTGGATGGAGAGGAGGATGGTGCGCACGTCGTAGGCGGAGGACCACTTGTCCTGGAGGATGTCGAGGCAGATGTTGCCGTGGGCATCGACGTTGGGGTGGAAGCAGGGGGTGTCGAACCGCACCTGGGGCGGCTTGTACGGGTACTCGGCGGTGAAGGCCAGCGCGAGGCGGTAGGAGGTGCCCTCGTAGGGTGTCCCCGCGGAGCCCGCGATGGTGCCCACCCAGTGGAGCATGCTGTCCCCCTCCGGGTCCGGGAACGCCGACACGCCCGGGTCGCCGCCCATCATCAGCGCCATCAGCTCCGACTGCAGCCGCCGCACCACCGACTGGCCCTCCAAGCCCTTGCCGGCCCCCGCCGCCGACGCCGACGGCTTCGGCGCGGATGCGGATGCGGCGGGGACGTTCCCGGTCTGCGCCTCCTGGTTCTCTCCCCGGGCCATGGCTGACGATCGAGTCGGTGCTTTCACGTCGGCGGCGGGCGACTGAGGGGAGGCGGCGGCAAGAGATCCAGGATAGATCAGAGCGGCGGGGCGCAGGATTTAAAGGCGAGGGGTGATTGGCTGGGGAGTGGGGATGGGAACGCGAGTCCCTTCTCCTCTCTAGTGACGTTTGGGTAACTCTAGGCATAATTAACCGAAGACCGAAGACCGAACCGAAAAGACCGAGACCGAGACCGAAAAGACCGAGATCGAAAAGTTTGGTCATGAGTTCGGTCCTGGCTCCCAACTAACCGAAGTAACCGATAGAAGTTCGGTCATATATGTCGGTTAACCGAAGTGACCGAACTGACCGTAGTTCTGTAGACTTCGTTCGTAATGTTATTATGTGTGATTGTGATTTGTGATAACTGAGAAAGTTGTGTGCTAGAACTTGTCATAATAATGTGTGGTTTGTTTTATATATTGTGTTGTTATTTTTTGCCTTCAAATAGCAAGCATCTTTGTTGAAAATTGCTATAGATTACTATTATTGTTTGTGGTCGCTATCAGGTCCGGTTAGTTTGGTCGTGACCGAGAACGAACCGAACTAACCGAGACCGAACTTCCTCGGTCTTCGTTTTTTGCAGAAGACCGATCGGTCCTGTGTTTCGATGACCGAATCGACCGAATGATCGAGGAACCGAACCGATCGGTTGGTCTCGATCAATGCCTGTGGTGACCTTTTTGGGGCGGTAGGCCGCACGGCGGGCAGCGGTAGCGTGGTCATGGCTACGGTAACGCCCGGTGTCCGTGGCGGACCGCTTTTCGCCCACACGCCGTTTCCGTCCGTCGCCGCTTCGGATCTCGTCTCGTCCTCGTCCCGTACCGCCCTCGGCGCGGCCCCGCCCCTCGCTGCCAGCGCCACAATGACAGCCAGCGCAACGCTATATGGCCAGCTAGTCATTGGCCGGACTAACGCCTTCAGTCGTGGCCGTGATCCATCCGTCTGCTCTGCCCTGTCGAGGTCCGTGCCGCCGCCGAGCTCTACATCCGCGACTTCCGCGCTACTCCACGGCCTCGAGCTTCACGTCGGTGTTGAGCTCTGTGTCGACGAACCTCTTTCCTATATTTTCGGACTATGTTGCAGTATTGTATATCAACGCTGCAAAAGTAAATTGAATGGTGCGCATGTTGTAATGGCTATACACGTATGTTTCAAGTGTATATTTCAAATATTTCATCTAAAGTTGCAAGCGTTTTGTTTGGGTGTTGCAAAAGTAAATCTAGATGTTGCATACACACGCATGTTGCAATCATATGTTTCAGGTGTTTTCGTGTGTTTCGTACGTATGTTCGCAAGTGTTTCGTCTAGATGTTGCATATGTTTGCAATGATTTCAAATATTTTTTAAACATTTTCGCAAGTATTTCAGACGCTTATTTTAAGTGTTTCATCTGTCTTCTTTTGTATGTTGCAACTGTTGCATCTTTATGTTTCAAAAGTAAATAGGGTGTTGCACATGGAATGCGCGTGGGAAGCGGCCGGCGGCGTGGGTGACGTCCGAGGCAGTGTGGGACCACTGTTGGTGCGCTCCCTAGCGAGCCCGACGCGCTAGGCGCTCGTTCGCTCCCTACGCAGGCAACGTCTGGATGTTAGCAAGTCCATTATTGCTATGACCGTAGCATTAGGTCAGTTTCATTGACATTTAATAAGCTGTTGCATGAGCATTTTTTACGTGACAGTTTTTTTTAAAAGAGAGTGGTTTCATGGGGATGAAAGTCTCTCGACACGATTACCAATTTTTTATGAGTCATGAAATTAAATGTCTATGAAACCACATAATGAAGCTCTCAATTAAAAGTTTCATCTATATTTCATTTCATTCCATATGACATGGTACTCTTGGAAACAATGTCACGAAACTCCCCATTAATACTGGTCTTAGATCTAAGCACAAAGTTGCTTGTATGGCATCATTTAACGATGGCCTGAAGTAAATATAAAATGCAACATATTACTACATAAATTTTGTTGTTATACATGGTTAGCAACATTTTATGAATTTCTAACACCACGTTTGGATATAGCTATTTAGCTTGGAACTAGGGAATTGGAATCGTATATCTTGAGTACCACGTGTTTGGATGGCTTGGAATTGGATC